AGGAAGAGAGGTTTATGGATGTCAACCTCTATATTATGAGAAAGACGATGTTTTCTAGTATATACTTACTCCGTCACCATATGAAAAATGATTACATTTAGGCTTATTCAGTATCATATACATGGATATAGGCTATACGTGTTTTTATCCTTTGCATGTTTTTGCTTGTTTGAACAATATTTAAAGACGAAAGTGACACAGTTGGTGTAGTACACCATAATAATATTAAAATTTGTAACCTGTACACAAGTGTTAAATGAAATGTAGGCATAACTGCAACACGTGCTTTGTGCATATGGTGTGCAATAGTCCAATATTCCTTGGAACAAACCTCACATAATTATTCTGACAGTTCCATACAAAAGGGTATATTTCTTCATCTTTAATTGTTTACCTTTGTAGAGAAATAGTAACACCATCATGAACAGAGAAAACTCCTGTCCTGAAAATATGCTCATATGTTTTGAACTATTTTTTCATTTACGGTAAATCAAAATACACAATCAACTATTCAGGACATTTATTTAAATTGTAAGTAATTCATTTCATGTTCTGTGGAAAGCACGGCTGCCAAACCGAAGTCTCTATAGAATCTACGTACATTATGTGAGGTACATATATTAACTGATGGACATACAACTGTCCTATTTTCCGACGTCGCAAACAAATCTATAAAACAAACCACGAGGTAATGATTTTACATGTTGTGCGCTTTCAACATTTCTTGTAATTTGTGATACTACCAAAACGTATCAGGTTACAGTGTGTATTGGAATAGTCTGCTTCATCGTGAACGAAACCTCACGAAAATAAAGTGTCCTTCTCAACAGTGAATTCTCTCCAAGTGACCTGAGTTACAATGACATCGTGTAAAGCCTAGCGGAGTTACGCCCCTCGTCTCTATGCGTGTGTCAGTTATGTCAAGCCACAATATATACTGAATGCATAACGTTGTCAGATCATTCCTGGCACAACGTTCACTTTTCAGACTTGTGTCAGAAACCTCGACATCCAGGGGCTTGATATCATCAACTATTTGAACTAGTAACATCGGGCATTATTGATTGTGAAATGTATGAGGAATTCAAGGCGGTGTGTGTTTAGAGCTGAGTGTTAAATATTTGTGATGTAATAGACCGATCCAGTCTGTCAATCAAAACTGGCGCATGCGTCAATTTTGGCCAATCAGCAGACCGGGCGCGCTGTGTGGATTTGTCAGACTTATTTCCGGGGTCAAACGATGCCTCCGAAGCGATGTGCTTCGATTTATGCCATTTACACTCGCTATATCTATTACATATTGCTGTGATTTGATGTGTACCTTTACCAAAACCATTATGGTCAAGACAAAAGGAATTGAGGCGGATCAAGGAGCGCGATAGGCCTAACGATCAGTTAAATGTCTGCACCATCGTTCACGAAACCTTCGTCTGCCTGCAGATGAGAATTTGCACGAATTTCCACACTTTTACACATGTGCAAAATCATTACCAATTGATGACAACAAATAGCAGTTTAAGACTTTGCAAGTGTTATAAACACGGACAATTCTTGTAACTACAAAATTGTTTTTGCTTAACGTTTTAGTCCTTACTGGGCATTGACTTGGTACGCCATAACGCTCAAAATGAAACGGGCGAGAAAGCCGTGACACAATGTAATCAAATCTGACAGCGATCTGATTTCGGTTCTAGGGTCGACCGAAAGAGCAAAACTTGTTACATTAAAGAACAATGTGGCGGATAATGTTCCCTTCGCTCTTAGATATTCTTAAATTTGTCACACATTTAAGGATGTTTTAAGTATCTAAAGCACAATCTGAAGGCCTACTGTACAGTATCTTGTTAATAGTGCAAAATATTCGAGGAGTAATATTTTGTATTCAAACGAAAATATTGTCAGTGTCAGTAGTTGCCTATCATGCAATATCCAAATATCAAAATTAATTCATATGAGTGCCTCTAAAACTATGCTTAAAATATTTCAGAATTTCTATAAAGAGATGGATGGGACTTTGAATTGAATTACGTTCCTCCATGTGGATCGAATACGAAAACTATGTGAGAAGAATAGTGACTTTCTGTAGTATTGGGCGGAGTGAAATAAAGTGTATATCCTAATTATGAGGACATTTGAAGTTTTGTTACAACATGGAATTATTCACATATATTGGTACATTTTAGGAGCAATATTGCAACTGTCAGTTTGATTAATTCACTGGAAATGATGGCAAGGTATGTTTTCAGAATCTTGCTCTTTCTAGTAAATGTGGAAGGGTAATAAAATTAATAATAATCTAATCAATTATAAATAATAATTTAATTGATTGACATATCAGATTCATATGATTTTTAAGGCAGAACTAGGCAAACAAATCATGGCAGGACAATCACTTGGTATTAACTTAGTTTGTTGGCTCCTGCTTTTAGATGTTTTTTAAATAATACATTTACTAATAAGATAATTCCGAAAGTGATTGCTAGCACATAACTCATCAAAGTTATTTCAACATCCAGAGAATTTGAAAAAGCAACCCTACGCTTTGGTCACATCCTGGTCAGGCATTATCCACTTCTGGAACAGAATAACTTACACAAATCTTAGTTGATTTTTCATGTAATGGAATAAATATTGAAACATATATTTAACCCAGATTTGATGTATTTTTCTTATAAATCGTCAGTTTTTGAGGAGGTTACTAATATTTGAAGACTGAGCCAAAGCTAGTGTTTATTAAGATGTTTGTTTTGGACAAATTGTTCAAAGGTTTGTTGATGGTTATTTGGAAAATGAGCTTCATATTAAACTGCACACTGGTTTGTAGGAGGTGAATGCTTTTCATGTGTGTTTTCCTTTTGCTATGATTTTTACCAAATGTTAAATCAACCTTATTATAATTTTTATGACACTAGTAAGTATCTCAGAAAAGGAAATAGATCAAAATTTAGAAATGCCCTTTAGGGACATAGTCTAAGATCTAATAAAACAAAGATTATCATTGTTTAGAAGCAATAATGTCAATATGTATTTGTATTGACAAAAAGCTTTGAAGTTAGGATATATTCTTTGCACCTTATTTGCACTAGTAGTTATAGCAGTTAAATATCTCTGAAGGAAAAAAAAAACAATATTTTTGTGTTTTGTGTAACATTCTATTTCAATGCTAGTTAATTGTTCGGATAAGAGCTAGTGGATTCTCTGTTCACAGATTTTGTAGCTCAGGTTTCCTATTTCTGGAAGATGTGTCTGCTACCCAGATAACATTCAGACGTTGGCCCAACGTTGGCAATGGTTTTGCCAACATTGCCAACGTTGGGCCAACGTCAGAATGCTATCTGGGTAGTAGGTGCAGACTGTATCTTGGATCTTCTTTGTGTTCTGGTGCTGTGACATACCTGTACATAAACGCTGGTAGTTCATGAAGTCCAGTATTGAGGAAGTTTGTTTGTAAGTTAAAATTAAGATTGCACAACAAACTACATACATTGTATAGAAAAATAAAATGGAAAGGATGGTTTTTAAAAATGGATTTCTTTCTGTTCAGTGTCATTTTAGGATAGCGTACAGATTTTGAAGAGGGACACTTTACCGAGAATTGCTGCAGATCAGCTGCTGAATATTTGCTTCTGGGTATGTCCAGAGTACATCCATGGAAACATACTGTTTTCAAACCTAATCGCATTTTCCAGATTTCCAAATAAGTTCACTAATTAAGTTGCGCACTGTGACAGATTTGTTTACATTAATTATATACAGACAAATAAGGTGCACAAAGTAGTAAACGGGAAATATTTTTTGCTTTTTATTTACCATTTATTTATTTAATTAAAATAGACACCCATGTTTTCAGATTATTTAACTAAGTTTGAACAACGCCAACGGATAAGTAAAGGCGCCACGCGCAGTGTTAATAATCTATTTATAGATACCGAAACGATCTGCAACATGAACATGAGGATGTGTTCATGGTTTTTATAAAATGATGATGGAAATATTTTGGGGGGAAAATCCAAGCAACAAAATTCAGTTACCCTTCCCCTGCTGATATCTTTGACGGAGGTGAATTGCTAGATAGATTAATTGATTCGAAAGAAAATACGCTTCCTATTCTCAGCAGCTGGCCGAGACGATTTTCCATCGGGCATGTAACTCATTTTCACTCGCCAATTGCAATCTGTCAACTAAAATATATTAAAAATCACATGCCTATAACTTGCCTCTTTAAATATCATTCACAAACCACGGATACCAAAGTACCACAAGCATAATACATCAACAACGTTCTCAATCACGTACGTTTCGCCGGCGGTGACGCCATTGTGAATAGTCAGTGGTTGTCCCCCCTAACGTCAAAAACGAAGTGGGCGGGGCTTATTGTACTTTACCTAAAAAACAATATGTTAGATCAGGAAACAGAGAAAAGGGGGAAGTGTTTGTCATTCCGGCATCCAGGGTTAACAAATATGAGATGTTTTGGGTGATGATTGTCATGTGTTTGATTTTGTATATTGTGTGTTTAGTCACTGTAGAAAGGGTACATTTCCCTGTGGCACCAAAAAGGTTAAATCTCAGTAGTAATCAGCTACAGATGTCCATCCTTCCCTTGTTAAACGATACCCAAAACATGGTATTTGACAAATACTGTTTGTGCTGTATGGCACGATGCCAGCATTGCGCCGCTCTCTGTCCTATCTGGCCGAGAAGACGGCCGGGCACCTCAGTGTATACCTGTGACGTCACCAGGAGTGTGACGTCACTGTCACTGTACAAATGGCGCCATGTCAGCTGAGGTCACAGAGTGCAGCGACATGTAAACAAACAGTTTGTTGTTGTCGGTTTCACAATTCGCGACATTCCCAGAACAAAATAAACACAGAATTATGTTAAGACGGGCGACGTTTACGTACAATCACTCACCGTTCATGTTTACACTCACTTCACAATTTTCTTACCTGATCCTGCGAGGTTACAAACACAACAAATGACAAAATGTCTGAAAATACTTTCAACAAGTTTTATTTATATTCACAAAGTAAAAGGAAATCACGTGAATCGTGACACACGACAACGTGGACGGCACACACCGCGTCAGTGTCAGTAACGACATGTGCACCGTCGCTGTCCACACCGACACCGACTTCAGTGTCCACCACGTGACTCCATGAACTCCACCACTCGCTGATGTCCCCAGTGTCTCGCCCACCAGACCGCTGTCCGCCCTTTGTTGCTCCTGGCGTTGATGCCCACCACGTTCCAGGACACGATCAGCTTCACCGTCTCCAGGTCTCCCACAATACAGGCCAAGTGAAGGACGTTGTTACCGCCCCTGTCCACCAGCGACACATCAGCCCCTCTACCCACCAGGAACTCCACCACAACGCTGTGTCCCCTCCGTGCTGCCACCATCACCGGTGTCCTGCTGTAGTATCCTCTCGTGTTGATGTCCACGTGACCCGCTGCCAGGATCCGCTTCACTGTCTCCAGGTCACCGGCCCCGCTGGCGGAGTAGAGGCGGCGGCCTGCTGCTGGTGATGGAGTCGCTGCAACACAAAGTAAACATCAGACATCTGTGTCACACATCTACAATGTCTTCATCATGTTGATACGTGACTCGGACATTGCTGCATCGTTTAAACAATTCCATCATGGCTGACAACAATACAACATGGCGGGAATGTCAACATGTGGTTTCTGGAATTATGGATGGTGTGTTTAATACAAAACTTTCTGTTGAACCAGAAGTTGTAGCAATATCTTGTGTTCGGCTGGAGAGTGATGATGTTTGTTGAACTTTACAAGTTGATAATGTCAGTACAACTGTTGTTTGGTATTTATTAGGGCAATAAGATATAAGGCTGCCTGCTGGGTTTTCCCACCTACCGTGTGGATCAGGGTCGTGTGTGGTCAGTGGCGTTGGTGGAACCGTGGTGTTCGGGCTCGGGTCAGTCGAGGCTGAAACAGGGAATATGTTGTTCAGAAAACTATATATAACACACACGTATTATAACTACTGGCCTCTGCAGGGATTGGGATAGATAACTTTGACAATGGGCCATTTTCTGGATTATTAGTCATTTTCTGAACCCAATCCCTGGCTCTGTTTTTGCCTTTCCACATATGTTGTGCCTTTCAATATTATGTACTATTAAATTCTAAATGCATCTCTGATGGAAGAATATATTGTTCAGTTTGATTGAGATAACGATTCATCGAGACCGAGTGTCTATGCAGGAAAAAAGTAAAACTTCTTATATTTAGTTTTTACAGTTTGAAATGAACGTCGATCGATATAATATGTTAGACTCATCCCTCAAGTCAGAATCTCCACGGGTATATACATTAGCGTGATAAATGTAGGCAAAATTAAGGACTGAGCTTCCTGCCTGCTGGGTTTTCTAACCTACCGTGTAGATCAGAGTTTTGTGTCTTCACTGGCGCTAGTGAAGCCGTGTTGCTCGGGCTCGGGTCAGTGGAGGCTGAAACAGGGAATATTTTAGTCAGAAAACTATACATAGCACGTAAGCATTATAACTACTGGTCTCAGTTTTCGTTCCCACAAATGTTTTGCCTTTCAATAGTATGTATGAATAAATTCAAAATAAATCAGTTATAGCAGAGGTATTAAATATTAATATGTGGTTTGATTTGATTGAGATACCTGTTCATAAAAGACCGCGTGTCTCTGGAGGAAAAAAAAGAAACACTTCCTAAATTTATTTTTACAAATGCTCCTCTTTGTTGAAATTTTGTAACTGAATAGATTGTTTTTTGGGTTTTTTAAAATATAAACATTAACGGTGAAACTAAAGAATCTGTTCGCCCCCAGGGTTGAGGCTAGGTTAGGGGCGAGTATATTCTACGGGGACTTAATATATATACATACATCATTATTCACATTATTACACTGAAAGTAAAAGTAGATAAAGAAACAAAAACATCTGCACTTATACCTACTCATAATTCCTCTTTATGGAATCACCACCTGGTTAGTCTGACTTCATTTATCGTGACTGGAATTCAAAATGCCTTTCCATTATGTCCCCACCCCACCCCACCCTTCCTGTTTAGTGTACATGGTATTTTAGGCAATATTCCGTAAATTCTAATGTGAAGCAGATTAAAACTTCAGTGTTTATCACGCAATGTGTAGGGCAGCATGGCAACTTTCCTCGGTGTTTGTGCAACACAGTTGTAATTTGTGTCAGGAAAACTCTGTGAAGCATTCACAAAATGTCAGCATATCGAGCTATGCCGGTGTAAGATTGAAAACATACCCGCGTTGAAAAGGTACCCGGCGGGTACTTTTTCAACATTGAATTATTACCCGGACTCACTTTTCAACGCCCGGGGTCTTTTTTCAACATTGAATATTTACCCGGCTGCTATTGAAAAATAACCCGGGTCACGTATTGAAAAGATACCCTCGTTGAATAATGACCCTCGCTGTTTCAACACTGTCAAGTAAGATACATATGTTAAGATATATACGCGTATGCAACGTACCGGACATCTTTGGTTTGATGCAATGTGCGAAATAGCCACTGGTCCGCTAGTCCGTGGCTAGTAAAATTCCAGTCGGGCCAGTAAATCTCCACAGTCACTGGGCCGACTGGCAAGTGAACTTTCATGGGGTGATTTTGAAAACATATAATTCTCTCCGACATCATGCAAGATTATGGCCTGATAAAAATGTTCATCATATTGGCAGCTTAATGATGAAACTCGTGTCTACATTCAAATTTCGGGCAAGTGATATGTTTTGTGGGCTAGACACTTTCAGGCATAGCTTGCCCGACTGGTAAGTACAATCTGCAAACTATTTCGCACACTGGTTGGATGGTGAACATAGACACATTTTAGCTCACCTGGACAAACTTCAGATGAGCTTATGTCGTTGACTGTATGTCCGTCGCCGTGCGACATCTGTAAACATCATTTCCGAAACTACTTAGCCGATGAGACTGAAACTTGACATACATGATCCAAACCAAGAGGACACCAAAGGTTGTTAGAGGCATTCCGATCCAATTTCAGATATGGCGACTACAGCGGCCATATACTGAAAATGACATTTTCGCTCTTTAGTCCCCAATTTCTGCAGTGAATCAGCTGAAAGTTGATATATCTGTGCCAGATAGCAAACTCAACAGATTTGCTTTACTTCACCATTTTACCTGTTTGACCTGTTATTCGGCACGGCCTTTAATTTCAGTTATACCTTTAAAACATGTTCTCTGAAACTACTATCTACTTGAGTGATGAAGCTGAATTGTTTTATATGTCTTCTTGCAATATGTATATGGCCATATTGAAAATGCCATTTTGCCCGATTTGTGACTCATTTCTCCAGCAATTCAGCTGAAATTTACTATGTAGGTACTGAATAGTAAGAGGGGCGGTGGGGTACCCTAGTGGTTAAAGCGTTGGCTCGTCACGCCGAGGACCCGGGTTCGAATCCCCACATGGGTACATTGTGTGAAGCCCATTTCCGGTGTCCCCCGCCGTGATGTTGCTGGAATATTGCTAAAAGCGGCGTAAAACCAAACTCACTCACTCACTCACTGAATAGTAAGAATCAACAAAAATAGTGCGGGTTTTGTTGTGCATCGCATTTTACCTTCATTATAAAATTGCCATCTTGTCTCATTAGTGGCTCATTTTCGCACCGATTCAGCTGGATTTTGTTAAATAGCAATGCGTAACGAATGCATATCATGTTACGGATATGGCTGTGTGTTTTGTTTTGACCTCTTTCGTTGCGCTAAGCACGTTTCCGTAAACTACAGCGGCATGGCACTATTGTTTCTGATATAGTTGTGTTATTGTAGGTCTATGTCTCTTTGATTAATTGTATCATGGCGAGAGTACTTTTGTACTGTTGAAATTGGACCAGTAGTATGTTGCACGTTTCATAACGTATGACAGAAGTAACTTTGTCAGCGTTCCTTGAATGTTGTATACCGTGCGTGTCAAATCTCGTAGATTGTAGTAGAATTATAACTTATAGCATGAACTATTTTCAAGTGTAGATGTCCAATTTTGTTAAAACATGTTGATCACACGTTCTTTCTAACTGTGATATGGATATGTCGTTGTCACAGACAAAACTCAATGTCTGTTTTAATGACCTCTTTGTGTCTGACTGGGTGTCTGCTAATGACAATATTCAATACACAACTTCGATCACTGACCACATGCAATTTGAACACCTATCAGGCTATACACCATAAACAAGACGCATTGATTTATGGCCGGAGTTCGGTCGCTGTCACATTATGTAATTACACAAACAGAAAGGTGTGATACTTGAACACATGTCATGTTATGATGTCTGTTGATTGCAAAATGTTATACACAAAAAATGAGCATGTATTTACAAAACCCAACATCTCTATATATACACACACAATGAGCCGTGGGGGCATCTGCAAATGTTGAACCAGCCGTTACACTTGAGTGCACACCCACCCGCTCTGACTGGGTTCGGTATCCCGGCTCCTTCGTTTCTTGGGCAGTAAACCCAAATACAAAATATTGCACTTTTGATTTGCGATTGTACGCTTATAATTTTGTTTATATGTTTTTTTCATAATCAGCAATGTATATTATATGTGATGAATAAGTGATAATTGTGTTTTAATTATGTTTAATTTTTTGGTTGCATGTGACCTTTAAGTTTATAGCTAATTCCATTTAAGCCTTCTTACTACGAGCTGCAAGCTCTGAGACAACTTGTCTAAGACTACAATTACAAGCGAACACAAAAAAATAGATATTTGTAGCAGTTTACCGCTTCAATGTTTCTCTCATCATAAAGCGAGTTTTCCTTAACCGCTAATTCCCCACCTCTCCTAAAAACAAGATTTTTAGTTTTATCTAAATTTACAGTTAATCCCCAGTTATCTGCATACGATTTTAAAGTGTCTAACTGGCACTGAAGACCACCAAAAGTATCTGACACAAGAATTACATCATCCGCAAATAACAACATTAGAATTTCAAGTACATCTGGAAACAATTTGTCTCCATGTTTACCATAATTTGTGATTTCTATAGGAAGTTCATTTATAAATAATGGGGAAAACATTGGACTCAACATACAACCCTGCCGTAAACCAAATGTACCGTTAACTCGGATTGAACTCTGACACACGATTTCACTGTTTTATATATACTCATGAAAGCAATTTCCAGAGTTTAACTGTATTTACAAAACCAAAAGCTTTTATAAAACCTTCTTCTACACAGATTTTTCTCGATGATAGCATACAATGTGAAGATATGGTAAACAACTGAATAGCCCTTCCGAAAACCAGCTTGAGTTTCAGAAGCTTTATCTTTAACATTTTGCCCATTTTGTTAGTCTTTCATTTAAAACACAAGTATATATTTTCCCGTGTGAGCTGAGTAAAGGAACTAAAATTGCTCTACTCCACATTTGTTGGAAACAACCATTTAAAATATTTTATTGAACATTGCTACTCAAAAGGGCATTATTTTAGATTCACTTGTTTTAATCATTTCTATAAGGACGTTATCAATACCTGGAGATGTACCATTTTTCATATGTTGTATCACATGGATTCAAATCACTGTTTGGACACTGTTACGCAGTGGAAAATTAAATTAAAACTTCATAAATTTTGACTTACCTTTCAATCAACTAAATGTGAAATCCCCTTATTATCAACTAAACGTGAAATCCCCTTATAATCAACTAAACGTGAAATCACATTTTTAACGCAATGAGAAATGTGAAATAAACTAATAAATCCTGAAGTTTAAACTTAATATGAGGAAACTGTCCATCTAGCAACTGTCAAAATGTTAATGGATAATTCTCTCGACTATGTGTATTTCTATTTAATCTATACTTTTCTTGCTAGGTCAACGTCTATCACGTGCAGAGATTTACGCATTAACAACCGTCACTAGCGCCTAAAACTGAAAGTTTTAACGTCTGTATCATAGCGGTCGACCTTTGCACAGAATACTTTTCTTGCTAGGTCAACGTCTATCACGTGCAGAGATTTACCCATTAACAACCGTCACTAGCGCCTAAAACTGAAAGTTTTAACGTCTGTATCATAGCGGTCGACCTTCGCACAGAATCTCGTGCAGCATGAAAAGCTAATGTCCTTGCCGCGCGTGTATTTGTGCTATCAAGTACTGTGTCCGAGAACATCAGTTCTTCACGAACCCTTCAGAACAGACACTAATTTTAAAAAAATGAAAATCTAGACTTTCGCAATCGTATATTGCTTTCATATGTTATGATTAACATGTATTTCAAGTTTGAACAAAATCGGTGAAGAAATGAAATTTTAGAACATTCTACCTCTACACCCGTTACATAAAACACACAAGGTGCGACACTCGCGATGCTAGAAACCTGATCGAAACTGGACAGCCCGATTCTACACAAAATATTGTGTTGAGCTTGTAGGTCATGCTTTTACCTTTCTATTCATCGTAT